CGGCTTCTGATCCACTGATTTAAAGTCACACAGAACGTCCTAATTTAGTCGGTTACAACGTCGGCCTTACCTAAACCTTGTCCTTTATTTTGCGTGTTCGAATCCCACCATGAGGTCATTTACATTTTTGAAATACCGCATCACTAAACAAATGTTTTGGTTGCGTTTTATGCATGCAAGTCGACTGGACTTAGATATGTGCTAATAATAAAAAATATTGTAAGTAAGCATGAACAAGTAAAACGAACAATTTACGATTCTAACTACAAGTAATGGCGAATGCGCTAGTCCGGAGTAGTTTTTGCATCAAAAATAAAAACATGCGATCGTTGGAATTATATTTTCCTGTTTTGTTTTCTAATTTCAACACAAGCACTTTCTGAATACATTTGTATGCCAAAACTAGTAAAGCTTACAAAATAACGGTGTTGGTCCCGGACTACCACTGTTTGTTAACAGCATGCAAAATGGTTAGTTATAAAAACTAGTCAGCGGCCTATACTTGACAAGTCTCATGGCTCATAATAATGTTTTAGTAATTCCACCAGATCATATGTGAGAATGATTTAATCTTTACTGCACAAGCTTGATACGCTAAAAGTTTTAGTCCTTTATCATTTAAGATTCAAACAAGTCCAAGGCGACGGGAGGATAATTAACTACACATTTTTGTAAACTCGATAGTGTATCTCTACCTGTTTACCAGGTTGTAAGGCGCACAGGCTTCCTCATTATTTATTATTATCATTTGGCTGATGACCTACGCCGTTAATGTGTTGCTGCCAAAAACGAATGCAGGCAGTGTGCATTATTAACCCGGTCTCCGATGCCCTCTACGCAGAATGTTTGAGTTTCTTTTCGTGCAATCTGCCCAATAACTTGTCTGCTTATCTGGCAGACCTGGCATTTAATTCACTGGTTCACTGATCTGATACCGTGCAGACGTAATAAAATTGGCAGACGTCCGGAAATGACACCAGCCGGTCTGACTACGAATGATGCCATGTGTGTGTGACGGAGCATGCCTACATCAACTGGCATCCCTCACGTGTATGTCGGGCCA